TATATATATATATATATATATATATTTGAAGGCATCCATCTAGAAATAAAATTGATTTCAGAGTCTTTGAAGATGATCCAACATGCATTCATGTAGAAGCAATCGAACATCTGACATGTCAATCATTGCTCGATAAAGACTTTCGCGAATGACTTCAACACACTCGATGGAGGGGGTGTTCAAGAGATGATACAATTGAGAGAAAACATTGCAGATATCTAATTAATAATTTGAAGTATCTTCATAATGACGTTTGGTGTTTCAAATCTGTGGAGAATTGGTTGATGTCTATTTTCACATCCATGTTTCGATATTTTAATTTTTAAAGTTATAACTATAGTGATGCATATTTTTTTATAAATGTGATATTTTTCTTGATTATTAACCATATTTTTTGTTATTGTTATATTATACATGAAGTTTAACTTTTCAATTAAAAGAGTATATTATATTCCTAGGAAAAATGAATTTAAAGTCATCAAATACTTTCATAGCTCTGTACTGCTATTATGCCATTATGATATATAATATTCCGAATACATATCAATAAAAGAAGACAGTTATGAAATAAAATTTATTGATATCATAAAAATAGAACTAGTGAAGATTGTCGTTATTTTCCATGTGTTGACATAGAAAAATTCGCTATAAATAGTGAAAAATTCAGGAGAGATGTTATGGATAGAAAAATATCCAAAAAACTTGATCGTCTGGACATGATAGTAAACATTATTATAACATTACTGGTTAATTCTTGTCATTTTTATTATTATAACATTATTTATAAAATGATGACTTATAATTGATATACTAACTAAATTTGAATTATTGATATATTTTTAGTATTGTCAACTGTATCTGTTAATCTACAATTATTTCAAAAACTACAATCATTCAGCCAATGTACATTTATAAGGTGCTAATTGTCTTTCATCAAATATAACAATAGCTCAATAAATTCTCCAAACAGTCTCATTATTACTCGAACTATTGCTTTTTGACAACAATTGTGAAGCTGTTTTCTCAAGAGACAATTTCACAATTACTTCAAAAAACAGCAGCCGCCCCAGAGACAACCAAAGTCATTTGATTGGACTCAAAAAACCAGAAAAACACATTGTATAACAATTACCAGAAGAAACACATCATTCAATTTAACATCACTCGTATGCACCGGCTAGTTATATGTGCTACAAACGGTGGTTCAAATCACATCCTCATCCAATGCAAGACAAAGAATATTCACAAGAGACCAGGTCCTTAATGATTTGGACCCAATTCCAATTTTAGGCCCAAACTATTATATTATTCCTTTGTGGATAGGTCCCTAATGTACTATCATATTATTTAATGTTCATATTCACTCTGCCTAGATTTAGAATAAATCAAGTCACTGATGGAATATAGATAAAATTCTATAAACTTAGCATAAAATATTTATCAAAATAACGCATATTTAAAGGTTATTTATGAAAATCCATGGCTATGGCATCATAGATTTTGAATAGATGTGGTTTAATTAGTGGCTTACATTTAATTAGATACCTCAAAGGGAAACATTGGTGCGCTGCAAGCGCATGGAAAGATGAACTCAAAGTACAGGCACCACCAAATCGAATTCTACTTCAAATTAGTGTCCCATGTGAGATTACATGAGACCAATCAAAATTTTACAAGATTTTACAAGGCAAATTATGCAAGGCAAATTATGCAAAAAAAAAAAAAATGAAGAAAAAAGGTATAAAATATACAAATAAAGAAACTCATCCGTAGCTACATTGGTCTTATTAAAATTGCAGCCAGCCAACATATGAGAGCTTCTATACAGCCACCCAGTAGAACGGATTAATAGAATGTAGAGAGAGACTGACCACCATTTCAAACAGGATAATGAGGATGTGACAACAACAGCTCCATGCTGCTAAACTTTGACATTTCAAACTCTTAGAGAAAGCCATGGATGACCGGCAGCTCAGGCTGGACATGAAGGCCTGCCCAAATTCATGCCAGTAATTTCCTCCATGCTTTGGAAGGAAAGATTTTGCAGCGACGATGTAATAAGCCTACTGCACGCCAATCATTAGGCTTCCCCCGTTCCTATGGTGTCAGCACAAATGTTGCAGCAACCAAGCCCCCTAAAACCTGCTATCATATATAAATGGGTTTAACATCATTTAGCCCGAAGCTTACTGAACAGGTCGGGCACTTCCGATGACGACTTTCAATAGTTTTCTGGACGCATTGGCTACAGAATAAATGGTAGCATTTTGCAATCACAACCTGCGCCATAAAAAACAAAGATCAAGTGAGCTCACAGAATTTATGTCTTCGCATCTCCGGTGTGAACACCTGCATCCTGTTTCAGAGGAATTTTTTTTTTTAGAAAAAAAGGAAAGAGAATTAAGCTTTTAGTAGAGAGATGTGCATGCACACAAGGCATAGCTTATGAGAAAATAGTAACCGACAGGATAATCTGCATGTCAACAAAACAAAGTTAATATGGTTGCCTAAGAACAGAATTTCCCTTTCTCACACGATGATAATTGAGGCAAAAAACAAGCCATGATAATATTAAGGCTAGATTTGCACGAGAAAGAGGAGTGGCAACATGTTCGCCTTATTAAGTTAGTTGAAATCTCCAAAATGCTAAAAATATTTTCACTTTTAAAATATATTGTAACAAGCACGACAAAATAAATATTGTCATAACATGGAACATTGAAATCAGGACTGTTATAGAATTAGTATTCATAATATAAGAAAATCATCCAAGAAACTAATTCATCAAAATCATTTGTATGAGAAATTAGATATTGCACTAAAAAAAACCACACTTTGGGTACCCGGTGTCTTTTTATCTGCAAATTGGTCCTGATAACAAGTCAATCTTCGTTTAAGTCCTTTTCACTAAAATTTAAAATTATTTTGATGAAACCAATTTTTTTTTTTTTTTCGAGTCTGATTGCATGTGAAAGCGAGATGGGCTTTATGATCTCAAATATTTGCCCCCGTTTTTAGGCAATTATAAAATTCCAAAAATACTTTATATAAAGTTTTAGACCTTGGAAACGTCATTACATCACTTCGGGGAAAACATAAGCCCCTCTTCGAACTCCGGAATTAATTTTTCAAAATGTAGATTTGGCTATTTTTATCTAAAATTTCCCAAAAATTTTTACCAAGCTTTATTCAGATCTAGGATTAAGACTTACTCTGGGCCAAAGAACCTATAGTTAATCATCTCTCCCAAATGAGCTTGAACTAAAACAAACCCATCGATAATATAACTGGGAACACCAGAACTTAAATTAATTTTAGATTAAATTTGTATTTAGTTCTACGTATAAATATAAATTGCATTACATATTGTACATATATATTATTCATAATCATCTTGAGTCCACCATTAAGTGTTATTCAAGTGAGTTGGGTCAAATTCTAAATTGCTGAAAATCAATTTAAAGCCTAGAGGGGGAGCTCAAAATTAACTCAAAATTAAGAAACATCATGTTTATAAAGTAAAATTTCTAATTAACTCGAGAAAAATTTTATAGTAGTCATTAGAAGATCAACAACCTCATGGAATAATCTTATTCTCATTTGTCAAAGCAATGAGATCTCCATATATATTTAGAATACAAGCATTTATAGAGACTGAAGTTTTAGACCCTGGAAATCGTCATATTTTACCTAGGACAAAGCACAACCCCTCTTTGAACTGAGTTGGGTTTTCAAAATGTAGATTTGGTTATTCTTACTAGATTATCCCGCAAATATTTAGACCAAGTTTTATTTAGATATTGGGTAAAGACTTCCTTTGAGCAAAAGACCCTATAACCCACAAGTCCCAGGTTAGTAATCTGACTATAATACCAGCTAGCCTAGCAAAATGCCCTTGAACTGTTGAGATAAAGAAGATAATATTGTAATTGTATACTCAAGCTACATATGATTAAAAATATGGGTTATTTTACGAATAAAGATTACACGCTCTTCTCCCTGAATTTCATTGATCCTGTGTCTTCTTTTCCTTTTCTCTTTTCTTCTCTTCTTGGATATTCTAAACTCTTGAGGTGCCCACCAAGACAATTTAGGATCCAACAATAACATAAAATGCAGTACAGAACCAGGGCAAATAAGTGTTTTCCACTAGCCCTTTAGATAATAAGTGAGAGATTTTTGTCTTGCATAGTGAAAGATATAAATCATTCATTTAACAAAGCCTTGCTTTTGTTTGCATTTCCATTTCATTAAACCCTTCAATATAAGGCAGAGCAACGCTATGAATTTTTCTATTCCAAAACACAATGGAGTTTTCCTTACATAAATATTGTTGGAAATCTTCTAATAGCTAGAGATTTTTAACTGAATATTCGGGGAATTGAGTTAGGTCTTTATCAAAAAAATATTTTAAATAATTAATTTGTAAAGATTTATTTTTAATACAACTAATTTCATTAATAATCACATCATAAGATCAGTAATGAAATGAAACGTAATATTTTTATCAAAAATAGAGTATCTAATTTATATTTGATCAATTTTCTTATAGGCATTAATTGCAGCAGAAATTGAATACCCAAGATGGAATGTTGGGTTAAATTTTTAACAAGAAAAAAATGGAATAAGAAATGCATATATCTGCTTTGCATATAGCTGCATTCGAAAGCTTATAATTTATCTGCATTCGGTCATATAACTAGCAGAGTATAATCGCTGAGCAATTTTTTTTCAAAATATTTAGAAAGAATAAACCATTGAATACAATTCATATCAGCATCATTATCAATGAATGTTGTCAAATTTGATAAAATGTATTGTCTATTAATGATTAATTTAATAATAATGCCACTTATGCATGATAGTTTTCTGAATAGATTGAAGAAATTACTTTACAACAACAACAACAAAGCCTTAATCCCACTACGCAGAGTTGGCTACATGAATCCTTTTTCTTTATTGCGTCCTATTTAGTGTCATATTTTCATTTAGTTCTAGTAAATTAAGATCATTTTTTATACAATAAGCCCAACTCTTCCTGTCTACCTCTGCCTTTCTTAACACAAGTCGAATCTAAAACATCTACTCTCCTAATCGGATCATCAGATGGTCGACGTTTAATGTGACCAAACCATCTAAGACGATTTTTTTCTAATTTTGTCCGTCACAGGAGCTACACCAACCCTATCATAGATATATTCATTTCGCATTTTGTCTCTAAGTGTAAAGTCACTCATCCACCTAATCATTCTCATCTCGACAACACTTAACTTAATATTATGCTTCTCTTTTAAAGGCCAACATTAAGCGCCGTAGAGCATTGCAGGTCTCACCAACGTCCTATAAAATCTTCCTTTCAATCTAAGAGGTACTTTTCTATCAGACAAAAGGCCCGAAGCATTCCTCCACTTCAACCAACCAACTTGAATTCTACTATTAACATCCACATCTATATCACCATCGTTTTGAACGACGGACCCAAGATATCTAAATCATTTACACCTTTTAATAATTTGATCACCCAGAGTCACGCTTCTGTCACTAGAGCTACTACTACTAAAATTATATTCCATGTATTCAGTTTTAGTTCTACTTAAATGAAGGCCTTTAGACTCCAATGTAGACCTCCATAATTCAAGTTTTTTCTGGGCTTTCTCTCTCGTTTTATCCACGAGAAGGATATGATAAGCAAAAAACATACACCAAGGTATAACTAAAGCAAAAAGAAATGGGCTTAAAGCCAATCCATGATGTAATCCAACAGAAATAGGAAAATATTTGGTCAATCCTCCTTCAGTTTGAACACAAGTAACAGCTCTAGTATACATATCTTTAATGACTTGAATATAAGTCATACCAACACCTTTCTTCTCAATAACCCTCCAATGGATATCTCTTGGATTCTTATCGTAAGCTTTTTCTAAATCCATAAAAATCAAAAGTAAAAATTCCTTATTATCTCTGAACTTCTCCATCAAACCTCTCAATAAACGTATAGCTTCCATAGTAGACTTGCCCTGCAGCTTC